TCCTCCCACAGAAGAAAAAAAGGCAGGAAATATGCTAGAAATGGAAATTAAGGAATCAAATCTAATGTTTACACTTATCAATAATACATTCAAGAGCACTGGGGGATTGTATCCAGCAAATGATGTGTGTTTTCAGTGGTGTCTAAAGGAGTTGAGGGTTCCCCAGGCTCATTGCTATTCCCAGATTCTTTTTCTTTGCTCTCCTGAGCACTCATGGTGCATTCTGGTGATTCCCAATTTCCACCAATAATATCAACTTTTATGGAAATCCTTTATGCCAGAGCCTTATGACCCAAATACCAACATAATTGGTTTTAATTTTACTGGGCTCATACCTATCCTTGCAGCCTCTGCAGTCCCCACTTTGGGGCCCACTGATATAAATATTGCCTATGGCCTGTCAGGTAGAAGAATATCATGTTAACATAAACAGTGTCTTGAGGTTTAACTTGGCAGTGCCAGCTGTGTCTAAACTTGGCCCAGTTTTAACCACCTCTCATATCAAACAGCACTTTGAGAGAGGTTCTCTTGTAATGGCATTGACTAAATAAGTATAAAAAAACTGGGAGCTTGGAGTATACAAGGATTGCTTCTCCAAAAATCAGGATTACCCTGACATGAGCCTCCATAACCTGTCATACACCTTATTAGTACCAGCTGGTGTGTGTGTGTCCCTTGGGCAGTGTTGGAGACACATGGCCCTGATGAGCTGAAAGACAGAAAAGGCTGAGAGCTGTTGGGTCAGTACATCCCAAAACAGCTCCTGCCTTTGTCCAGGAATTCCACCATGCTGTTCCCCATCTCTGTGTGTCTCAGCTCCCTGTGAAATGCAGAGAAAAAGAAGTAAATTGGCCAAAATAGTCTGAACAAAACCATCAAAGAAAGATGGATCTGAACTTCTCTGGAGGCCTTAGGAACAGCAGAGCTGGTTGTAAGAAGGAGCAGCAGCTGTTTTCTGCCTCTCCTGGAGAGACAGGAGAAGTGGACAGAGGGATACCCTCACCGAAGGCCACCACGGAGGCACAGGACTGTGACTCAGCACAACCCCAGAGGGGATAGAAGAGATGAAGTGAGGAGGAAAACACCAGCCAAGTGCTTTTTTGTACTGCAGCAGATCCCTGGGGTCCCGTGTGAGTCAGCAGCAGTGGCACTGTACCCACCAGTGTCCCAGTGCTCTGAGTCACTCCGAGCCTCAGATGGCCCCAGAGAAGGGACGGGGGGATGGAAACCCCTCCCGAGCATCACTCCTGTGCTCAGTCAAACCATCCACCGAGCACTTGCTGTGGTTTTCTTACACATGATAAATTGCCCCCTGCTCATGCTGACCCAGCGTGGGTGTTCGAGACATTGGTCTTGGAGAAGGGCTGTCTCCCAGGATACACACAGGGTAAAATAAAATACTCAGTGTGAACTAATACAATTTAACTTCCAGGATTACTTCCACATCCAGTTTAGTCTGAAAATCAAAACTGGCACAGTTTAAATTTTCTTTTGCTCAATGAAGAAGATGTCACTTATAATTGATGGTTTCTTCTGCAGGACTTCCTGCAGCATAAACAAGCCAGAGCTTGTCCCTTACTGCTCCTCCTTCCTCTCCCCTTCTTCCTTGGGATGCAGTTCAAATAGGCAGAGAATTATAAGGCAAAATAGAAAGACACAGGATGCAATAATCCAGGGTTTAATACACATTTAAATTGGTAGTTTGATTTAGAAGGGAAATGAAAATATATTGGTGGAAGGATCATTCCCTGGCACCCACAGCACAATAGAGTCACCTTCCTGGGGCCCTCTCTCTGCTCCCCAGCCCTGAGGTTTGGCACCTCATTTGCTCAAATATGGGAAATATCAGAAGCTCATGGAGCAGCTCTGCTCCTATTAAAATCTCATTGAATTAACTAGAAGTGAGGGATGGGTCTTGTTTTTTTTTAGTTCAAAAAATAAAGGCAAGGAATCTCTGACCTCACAAACACCACCCGAGACAGTCACCTCATCACACACTGGGTTGAATCCTTCCCCTGCAGTGCTCAGTTCCAGCAGGCTGACCTGACCCATTTTACTCCATAAAAAAACCCCTGTGTCAAGCTTTTAATGACAGAGAACACATAGAAGGAACTGATAACAATAATAAAAATTAATTTTGGCAGCCAATTTGTCTTACAGCTCTTCCATTTTGATAGGTACGTACTCAGGGAGGAACAAAACAGCAGCAAAAGGCCCCAGATATGTGGGAGAAAAGGACACTTTTATTCTGTATTAGATTAAAGCTAACACATCCCCACATTTCACATTCCTCCCTGGGGAGGGAACCCAAGAGGGCAGGATTGCCACCCTAATTCTGCTTGATCCCTTGTATGATAATATGGAAACATAAGGATTAAGGGCGACAAATACAGGTCAGGTTCTCCTAATCTGCATAGCACAAAACTGCAAGTGTGTTACCCAGCTGGGAACTTCCAAATCAGACCTTAAGTGCCTCCAGTGCACTTTGCTACATGTTTAATAGAATTTTAATTGCAGAGTGATTGGATGCAATATTACAGAATTACCACAGATTACTTAATTGCTGAGGTTAAGCAGATATTTCTCTCAATATGTGTTTTTGCTGCTATAGATCCCTGCCTTCATATTATTTGGCACAGCATTGCCTGAGCAACAGAAGCAGAGATCATTAACCAGGACAAAACCACTTTTATTTAACGTGTTGGTAAATTTAAGAGGCAGATGTGTGAGATTCTTAAAACTGGCTGTAGAAAGAATCCGGATCCTGCCGTTCTTAAAGAGCTGCACGCAGGGGTGAGCAGCTGAGAGTGCCAGTGCATGGAGATTTTTGCAAAAATTATGATGTGCCTGAATGAACTTGTGTTTGGAGCCATTTGGGAAGCTGCTTTCACAGCCTGAGAATGTAGCTAATCCTGTGCAGGCGCTGGGAAACCAGATGGGCTGGAGCTGTGATGTTGGCTCATTCCTGTTGTCCCGAGGCTGATGGTGGAGGAGGAGAGGCTGGAGGGTGTTGCTTCTCCTGTGGCCCCTGGAGGGACCTCCTGGAGAATCATGGAGGGACTGCTCCATCCAGGGCAAACCAAAGGTCTGTCCAACAGAGAAATTAATTTCTGGAGGTGGTCAAAAGCAGGTGCTCAGAAGTGTGAAAGAGCAAGGCAAGCATCCACGGTCCCATCGAGCTTCCCAGTGGATCTTCTCACCTCTCCTGTGTCACACATCATGTAGGGCCTCTCCCAATCAGTTCCATCAAAGCTCCTCAGGGAAGGATCAGACACAGGTCAAATTCATTCACTTGACTCCATCTAAGGGGCTGCAGGCTGTCTAATGATGAATTACATCTGTGATCACTATGGCCATAGAGCAGCCAAAAATACTCAGTTTGAAAAAACACGTTCACTTGGACAAGAGAATAAAACCAGACCCTTCTTTCCAAAACATGTCCCTTCAGTTGCCTAAATCTTTATTGAATAAATGGCTTTTGCAGCATTCCTGGAAGATGCTGTCATGCATCATGCAGGCTGGTGCTAAAGGAATAGAACCCTCTCCTTTGTAAGTTATGTGTTTAATAAGAGAGGGAGCACATGACATTGTGCATGAAGTAGGGCTGTGATTATGGAGCTGGGCACCAGGAATTATTTAATTTCTGTACAAATTAGGCAGTGACTCGACTAATGATGACACCCACAAAAATAGGGCACAGACTCTTCCCTCCCCACTCCACTACTAAAGCCTCCCCTTTGTCTCTTGGCTCATGGGGAGATGTGACCACAGCCTGACTTGTTCCTCCTGGACTGCACTCTTTGAGGGAAGCACACCTTCTGCACATCTTCTCCATGAGCTACAGCACAGTCCCTGAGGGATGACAGAGTCTGGGTTGCCGACATATCCACATAAATATTTTGAATCCCAAGGCAGAAGGAAAAGCAGCCTTTGGCTCCACTTGCCAAATCCACATTGCACTCATGGCACCTCACTCTGCAGGAGTGCTTTGCTGCTTCCCAGGCCATTACAGGTCACAAAGAGGACAAGAGTTATGCAGCCCTTGTTGTCCGTAGAGAAAATTTGGGATAAAAAATTACCTTAATTATTATATTTTCTTCTTGCCTTTTATTGTGTTATGTTTTGACTGAAATTTCTTTATTTCCTGCTAGGATTCTGCCAGGATCCTGTTGTTCCATACAGTGGTTGAAGTGTATATTAAAAAAGGAAACAAATCTTTCTCTTGATTGTCTGATATATCTCCTTTTTAATCCAGACTGACAAATGTACTCTATCAACAGCACTTTTACCCTTCAGATTTGTTGCATTTTGTTTGCATTCTTTGACATCCATCAGCTAGAATCTGGAAAGGAAAAAAAAATAGTGTCTTTCTCTGCTTACCCTTTAATGAATCATTTTTATTATGGCAAAATCCAGACCCAAAACATGTTGTAATCTCAGGTATTGCACAAACGTAGAACAAAAGGACGAGCCCTGCCACCAGAAAGAGCTCCTGAGGCTGTTTAATGATCCTCAGCACCGTGGGGACTGCAGCCAGTGGCTCCATGTAACAAGCTAATGGGATTATCATGTCCCTGGCTCTCTGTCTACCTGGATGAAAAACACACACTAACTGTCTCTATGAGTACTTTGGACAAGATAGCCAGTGCTACAAGGGCATGAAACACGGGGGACAGACGTGAATAGAGTTTCATTTAAGCTGGTGTCTGAACCAGGCATCTGAACCAGTCCTTCATCTGCACCTTCTGTCGTTCACCATGTCGCTGCCCCAGTGCTTTTGCTGTTACTTTTCTATTACTTTTCTATTACTCCTGTTATGCTTGATTTTGCAGGCTGATTGTCCCTCGGGGTTATTAAATTCTTTGCACAACGGCAACAGGACAACAACTGGGGCTTTAGGAAAACAGTTTACAGCAATAAAACCCACACGGACAGGTCCCTTTTTCACCCTGATGATAAATTTCTCACAAAGCAAAGGGCTTTTTTTCCATACCTTGCAGGTGCTGTGGTGATCGCCTTCGTGGTCTGCTGGCTCCCTTACCACATACGGCGCCTCATGTTCTGCTACGTCCCCTCCAGCCACTGGACAGAGTGAGTCACAGCGTGGGGGACAAGGTCCCCCCATGCCAGGATGGGGTTGGGAGGATCAGGCTGGAGCTGGAGCTGCTGGGGCACCCACGGATGTGGAGGTGGAGGAGGGGATCTGGGAGCAAAGGTGTTCTCCGTGCCAGGGGTTAAAGCCTCAAACCCCTCATTGCTGTTTTGGTTTTTTTCTTTTGGATTTCTCAGTGTTTACCAGCCAGATTAAGACTCTTAGTTTTACCACATCGATCCCCCAGACACGGGTGAAGGAATCATTAGTTTGAACCAAAATGCATCATCAGCCCCTCCTTCTCCTGTGGGCTGCAACCACAGGCTCACCCCTGTTGGACACAGTCAGGGGTGTTCACCTCTGACAGCCCTTGATGAAATGACATTTGGACAGGGGGTTTTATACATCCCAAGTGGATTTCTGTCTCTGTGCTGGAGATATCGATCCCCACCCTAAGATGGATCACCTCCCATCAACACATGATTTAGCTCCATGAGGCCACATTTCCTCAGTGCCAGGAGAGATCACACAGGTGGAGGAATAACTGTGCTGCTTGCTGAGGCTGAGGCAGGTTATTTACTGCATTTTGCAGGGAGTGGATCAGAATTGAATACCAGCAGATGCTGCTGATTAGAAAATGCCCAGATTGTCAGAGAATTCTGGGATGTTTGCACACCTGTGCTGAACACACGTGTGCTGTTCACAGATGTGCAAGGGCACCCCAGGAGCTCCCTTTCTGCAGCACCAGGCCAGGTTTCTCAGCAAAGCAACAACCAAACTGGTTATTCTTTCTAAATATGCACTTTAACACTAATGCTGTCTCAGGAGCCTGAGATGCCATGGGATGCACTCGTGTGTCTGCCACGGTGTTACATCCCTGTTCTCCCTGGGACCAGGTCTGTTTCCTGCAATGAACAGGGAAAGGAAAAATAATCTGCAATACTAAAAAGCAAAGCAACTATGAGACTTCAAAATTTCACAAATTCCCAAACCAAAAAATAGTTATTTAGGATATAGCAGTCTACTGAATGGAACTGTACATCCATCCATAGTAAAATCCCAAACCTATCTTCAGTGATGAAAACAGAGCTCTAAGCCCATACTGGGACAAACTGTTGTCTCTCCTTTGCTTTCCTATATGAAAAGCACTTAAAGCAGTGTTCAATTATGTAATGACTGCATTTGCTTTGAGCAAGAGGGGTAGAGAAGTCTGTCTGCAGTTAGTGTGAATTTATGCATCCTGGTTGCATTCCCATGTTATTTTTTTCTCTTTTTAAAAGCCAAGGGCAATTTTAGGAAAATGTTGAATTTGTAGGCATGTTATGAACGGTGAACTATCAGTCTGGTGGTTAACTGAGAGTTTGCAGCAGTTTGACACATTCATTTATAAATGCATGTGCCTTGCCCCTGAAGAACAGAAATTTTTCCTATATTAATTCTTCACAACTACATAGAGAAACTCTGCCTGTAAGAGCTGGATGGGCCATGTAGCCCTTGGCAGTGCCAATGGGGTGTGGAGGGGTGGGTGATGAAGTCCAGCACATGTCTATTTATCTTTTGTTAGACACTGCTCAGGCTAGCACAAAGGTCTGCAATTTCCATCAAGATAAATGATTCTGAGCAACATCTTCCTGAAAATGAGACCCACACTGTTTGTAAATGCTTAATCAGCTCAGGGCTGTTGATCTCAGTTGTCCCAAGGAAAGATATTTTCAAAAGTAAAAAAAGGTAATTAAGCATTTTCAATCCGTTCTAGTTGAAAACATTATATTATGGTGGTCAGGATGTGTTTCAAAAACATGCTATCATCAGCTTGCCCCCAGAACAGGGATTGCTATCCCAGATTACAGACAAATTCCAATCCAAGGACCCACCAAATGAGCTGATGTTGCTTTCACTGTCGGGGGGGGAGGACAGAGCTGCATCTGTCACGGGGGTTTGGCTTTTCTAAAAGCTCTGTAGACCAGAACTGCAGCCAAAAAAGTCAGGCTAATGTATATGTATGACACAGAAACAAATTTCCATCTGGCTTCTCAGTTTCCAGAACGTCTATTTTCAAAGACAAAATCAACACATGAGGAAAATATCATCTCTGCCCCCAGGGCAGTAAGTTTTTAACTAGTAGTGATTGGGATAATATCTTCAAAGCGGCATTTGATCTATGTTTGACCAGTTCCAGTTCAGGATATAGATGCTTTTAGGTGGCTTATACACCACTGGTAAACTCATGTGCCCAGCCTAGAAAGGTTGGCTGAAAAGCAGCTCCTGTTTTTCTCACGTGTGCACATTTTATCTTGTGCCTTTGAATTTTTTCAGCTCTCCACACTCAGAATTTATCTTTCATCTGTTCTTCCAGTTTCCTTTACAACTTCTACCACTACTTCTACATGCTGACAAACGTCCTCTTCTACGTCAGCTCAGCAATCAACCCCATCCTCTACAACCTGGTGTCGGCAAACTTCCGTCAGATCTTTGTCTCTACACTCACACTCGTGTGCCTGCCATGGAGGAAGAAGAAGAAACGACTGGCCTTCACCAGGAAATCCAACAGTATCTCCAGCAACCACACATTTTCCAGCCAGGTCACAAGGGAGACCACATACTGAAGCCAAAGGAGGAAGGGAAATGCAATTCATCATGGAGTCAAAACTTGAGAGAGGCCTCTGTGACTCTCGTGCATGGTCTCCAAATTCACGTAACACAAATGTGTTTAGCAAAGTCATTTTTGTTGGAAAAATAGGCTTTGTTCCGCCAGTAACTTTGAGGTTATTTTAAAGCATTGGCCTTGCCTCTTGTGAGTAATGTCTACACATATTGTAACTTCAGTCTGGCATAAATCCAGATGTGGTGTTAACTGGGAAGCCAAAATATGTTAAACTTAGGCAAAACCGTACTGCATTTCATCCTTTTCTCAGTGCAGAGATGCCGTGTTCACATCCAAGGGTTTGAGATCACATCTCTTGGTGGCACCGAGCAGAGAACCCAATGAGGAGAAAGCAGTTTTGAACAGAGAGGGATGTTTTTGGAGAATGGACATGCTCATCTATGGGATGTCCAATGGACAAGGAGTGAAAGCTCAGGGAGCCAGGTGGTTACTTTAGAAATATATCTACATTTTGAGTAATATGACCAAGGTGCTCAAGAGAGCCACTCTGGCTCCTTGAAATCAAATAAGAACAGATGATGCCTTACCTAGGCTGGGGTGGCTGTGGCCTGGGGGAATGGGGGGCATCTTTGGCTTTAGGGCATCCATAGTGCCTGGCACAGCAAATCCCCTCTCTTGCTGGTTTTGGTGTCACAACACCAATAAATAGCAGAGTCTCTGGCAAAGTCAAGAATTCAGAGGCTGTGCCCAGCTGGAGTGCTGAAAATGAACGGAAATGGAAAATCTTATTCTTTCCATACAGTCAAATCCTATTTTTTACTATGGAGAACAGTTTGCTGGCCTGCATTAAGAGGTGAGAAAACTTCAAGGTCATGAGTGCTCCAGGCTGCTGAGGTAAGAGCAATCTGCTCCAATTCTGTAAGACCTTCAGATTTTTCCCATTCTTATTCCAGTTTTACCTGTTTCCTCCCCTTTTCCACACAGCTGATGTCTCATAGGTTATAGCAGCTGTAGGCAGCAGGGCTTCTTGTTTTATCTTTTCTTTTGTTTCTTTTTACTGCCATACCTGTTGGCACACTGATCTGTACCCAAAATCTTCAGGTAGTGCAAATGGAGAACACAAGAAGGTCTAACCTGAGGAGTCTTAACTCTAAAACAACTTTTTTCACAAGCCAGAGGAACAAGAAATTTCTCAGTTCAGGACAGGTGGCATGAGCTTTTCTCCCATATGGTTCCACCTCTAACAGCCCTTTAACTATGTGATACAGCATGTTGCTCCAGAGTCTTTAATACCAGAAATCACAGGGCTCTGGGACAAGTTGAAGGGCTTTCCCTGCTGTCACAACCTGTTTGGACAGGTTGGAAAAGGAATCTTTAGGCCTGTTCATACTGCCTTGTGGGAAAGTCCTGGTACGATGAACAGGAGAGGGGAAGAGTCTTCCTTGAGAGGAAGAGGAGTCAGTGTCACACATTTAATGTTGGCCTTCCATGCAAGACACTTCAAATGTTTCTGGACAGAACCCAGATTTTTTAACTTCACCTCTAAACAGAGTCAACATCTGGGAGGTGGTTTCTGAAATTTCCCACAGAAGCTGGAAATGTGTGTTGCTTTGACTTTCATCACAATTTAACACCCTGCATGTCTCAGTTGCTTTTGATATATTAAACACTTACTAGACTTATTCAACACCAACCTGCTGAAATGTGCTTGATTATCTTAGAAAACACTGTACAAAAGTTGTTGTTTCACATATGATGCTTGGCTTTGATTTTCATTACCAAGATACACTGGCAGCTTACAGAATATTTGATCACAGCTCAGAGAAACTGGTAGGTGTATTTTTGGTTTGACATGACAATGGGAAAAAGCTGGATTAAAAATGTACTTATCATAAGCTCTTAAACTCTCACTATTGTTGGGCCATTCAAGTGTTGAAGATCTGGGGGAATTTAGGGGATTTATCCAAGTGGTTTGCTGACTTCTACAGCTCTGTTCCCTCAGCTTAACAGGAAAGCAGAGCTGGGTCCAAGGCCTTAATCTGAGATTGCAGCTCAAAGCTACCTCTTCCACTGGCCAAATCTGACCACCTTGAGCTGAGCAGTGTAAGTCACAGCTGATTCCATTCTCTCTCCCCTCCTCACCTAGTTTTGGTATCTCTGACCTAGAGATGTGGTTCCCTTGATCTCAAAGAAGTGAGGATAACTCACTGCAAACCCCCATGGTTTTCACAGAATCACAGAGTGGTTTGGGCTAGAAGGGACCTTAAAGACCATCCAGATCCAACCCCCTGCCTTGGGCAGGAACACTAGACCAGATTGCTCAGAGCCCCATCCATTTTTTTGTAAAGGAAAGCATGGTACTTCAGAGAAGAAAGAGGTACAAACTGCCCCATGTGTACCAGAAAAATGGTTCTTTACATGCCTTTTAAGTGATTGAACTACTAACCCAACAAGGTTTAGCTTTAAACCTAATGGGGTGTGAGTGGCTTTTGCCATTATTCAGAACACAAACTCCCATCCACTGTGTTCTTGTCTGAGCTGAACTCTTCACCAAGGCAGAGAGAAGAGCATTGGGGTGGCACACTGTTCATCTGTGCAAATTTCCTATTGGGGTTTTGAACTGTTTGTTTTGACGAAAAAAAGAATAAAATCTGTTGAACCCACAGATGTGAAGTGCTGCCATATGGGTCTTGAGAAATTCCCCTCTGAAGAGAGTCTATCAAGTGACCTCTTCAAATGTTATTTTGAGGTTTTGTTTCTTTTCACAATACTCTTGCCAGGGCCATCCATTTGTCAGAGTGTGAAATCAGGTTTATAAAGTCATTTTTCTATTCAGAAATTTCCCCCAGACAGGACTTTCTCACCACAGGCCCAGTACATCAGTGTTGGAATGCTCTGCTGAGCTTGTCTTTTTTGTAAAGTGTATGAGACCTCACTTCAGCGAGTGTTTCAGGAGAAAACTGAGCGGAAAATGGGTGAGGAGGGTTAGCAGGACACGTGCTGTAAACATGACAATAGCAGGACCTTTGAATTCACAGTATCCAGCGTTCAGTGAAATAAGCCCCAAGGTGTGCTGCTGCTGCAGACAGCTCGTGTGGCAGGTTTGAACCCATCATCTGTGCAGCTGCATCACTCCTGCCCTCGGGGAGCACAGACATCCACGGGGCGTGGGAGCACTGGTGCTTCCCTGGGCAATGCCACGAGTGTCAGTCTGGTGTCCTCCTGGCTGTGTTGCTTGGTAACTGTTTAACCAAAGCTGTATCTGCTAGAGCTCTGTCCGGTTCTTCACATTCCAGCTCAACCAGTTCTCCTGTTCTCAGTCTGGATTCGTTTAGTATGAAAACAGAAATTGCTGATCCAAAATTTCATGATGCTGCGTCCTGGCTTTGTGATCCAGAGTCCTTTCCCAGCTGTGCCACCTGATAGTCCTGCACATATTGTATTTATGGCAAATATTTTTTAAAGTGCACCTTTTTTTTTTTCTTCTGAGATACAAAATGTTGATATGCTTTATTTTCTGTGGCCTGTTGCTCAATGGGGAAAAAAGAATGTTAAAGTGTGTCAGTGTCTCTTTTGTAATATTTTCTGTGACAAAGGGAAGGAAGAGTGTGAGAAATCCTTTTGTGTAGCAATGGGAAACACTCTTTCAGTGTAACATGCTATTATTGATACTGTATGTACTGATCAAAGTGTAATGAAATTGTTAATTCCTGATATAGCCTTTGTACTGTATGGTATTTTATTTTATTTTGTTATTCATTGATCCTATGAAATAAATATCCAAATTTAAGGCTTGGACTGCTTGTACTTGAAGTGGCAGGTGTGCCTTTATCCTGCTTGCCACTATGGGCACCCTGGTTGGGGTTTAAACTGGTGAAATCCCAGTGGCCTTGAACTGGACTTTGCATCTCCACTGCAGCAAGGTCCTGAGTGCTCCTATCCTTGCACACACTGACTATCCAGCACAAACAGCATCCAAACATCAGCTGCTGCTCGTGTCTGCAGGCTGGCAAACAAATGGAGGCAAAGACTAGCTAGGTTTGAAGGAGACTTCCATCAGTGATGTTTGCCCTGAAAAAATCCTTCCTGAGACCTGGATAAAACAAAGGATCTGTGCTGTCCTGTTCAGCTGATGGGCACAGCAACAAGAAATAGGTTTATGTGTCTTAACAGTTAAGATTTCCCTTCCTACCTTCCCATCTTTTGCATGATCTGCTTCCTCCCTGGCACTTATTTTTCTGACACAGAGGTAATTTTGTCGGAACAGAATACTTGGTTATTGCCCATGATATTAAAGTGTCCTCACACTAAATGAGGAAAAATCAGTCACCTCCATCCTCCCTGCAGGTCCTGGTTAATGTTCTGTTGAGAAGTAGCTCAGCTGAGCTGTAAAATCATCAGAGTTTTTAGCCATTCAACCCTTTTTTTGATTTCTGGTAGAGGCAAAGTTTGCTTGGAAAGCAGCAACAAAATAAAATTTAAATATTTGGAATCGTTCATGCCTGGAAAATTCATCTTCTAAAACCTAGCTCAAATGCACTGCCTCTCTGAAGGCTTTTTGGTACTGCATCCAGATGAGAAGAACAGAAGCCTCCGTTGTCCCCACATGATCAAGTACTAAAAAAGCAAATAATTTATTTTATGGATCCTTTCATGTGGTCTGCTATGCTAAAAGGTTTGTTTTTCAGTTAGCTGCCTAAGGAGCTGCAGCTCATGTCTTCAGCAGTGAAAATCCCCAGCACGTGGCAGCATCCTCGTTTTCTGGCTGCAGGAGGTTTCTGTGCTGGGCATGGTACTCCCAGTGGAGCCTCCATGGCTTATGCAGAAATCCAGACCATGTTCAAGCCAGAGTGAACAATGTTGCCCTCTGCTCATGGCTTCTCCAGCTCAGGGCTGACTCCTTGAAAAAGCCAAACTCCTGGGAAGTTTGGGCAGAGAACCTCACTCCTCCCGAGCCACCCTCCCACCCGGTATCACTGCACCACATCAGGCCCCACCAATGCAAAGGGAAACAAAAGCCGTGGAGAGTCAAATAATTCTTTTTTTTCTTTGTGAAAGGCACAAAGACTGTGTCTCCAGCAATGAGGAATGCTTTCCATTTGGGCCTTATTTCTCATTTCAATTATAGAAGTAATTTCCATAGTTCACAAGGGGAAAATTTCAGGCACCTTTCGAAACAAATGTTACGTTTTGGTAAATGGCTTCATAAAACTTAATAAACATCCATCCAGAAGTTAATTTATTTAAAATGTCTTTAAATCCTGCTCTGCCTTATTGAATTTGTTTGAACTGTAGATCAGGATGGAGTATATTCATGAGGGTATTTAAGCAATAAGGCAGCGCATCACGGTTGTTATTCCAGGTCTCCTGTGGGCTGGCAAGTACAAAGTACAAATCACACAAAGTGATTTTGGGCGCTCAAGTGCAAAACCATTCCAGAAGCACACAGACATGGCCCTGAGTGCTGGGGGGTGGCCAAACCACGTTGCTGGCGTTGTTTTCTGGGAGCAAAATCATGCCAAGGGAGCACAGAGCAGCCAGCCCAGCTTCCATCCACTACCAGTCCAGTCTGGGGCTCACTCAGCCAAAAGCCAATGGGAAAGGCCTGTAGAGTTATAGAATCACAGAATAGTTTGGGTTGGAAGGACATGGGCAGGGACACCTTCCAATCCCTGATTAACCTGGCCTTGAACACTTCCAGGGATGGGGCAGCCACAGCTTCTCTGGGCAACCTGTGCCAGGGCCTCACCACCTGCACAGGGAAGAATTTCTTCCTAACATCTAATCTAAACAGAGAAGCAGCCAAGTGTAGTTAAACATCATGTCACTGGTGATACAAACCAGCCAAGCCAGCCAGGACTTTCAAGAAAGAGGAAGAGAAAGACTAAACATTTTTAGTGAGTGTATGCACGTGTGGGTGTTGTATCCACACCTGTGATGATGTTTTGCTCATCTCTGAAATGTTTAAGTTTCATTTAATTTTTTTTACTCTTCCCACTTATTTTCCTTTCACTAAGTCTGCCTTCAAGAATTACTAATTATGTTTTCTTTCTCTTTAGTAGCTGCAGTTCCTGGTGGGTTCAGCTGACCTGTCCTAAACTCTATAACCATCCTTTGATAGGCTGAGAGAGTTGGAGTTGTTCAGCCCGGAGAAGAGAAGGCTCCAGGGAGACCTTAGAACCCCTTTCAGTGCCTAAAGGGATTCCAAGAGAGCTGGAGAGGGACTTTTTACAGGGATATGGAGTGACAGGACAAGGGGGGATGGCTTCAAACTGAGAGAGGGCAGACTTAGATCTCGCCAGTACCCTAACATTACACGAACATAACCCAGATGTAGTAGC